GAGCAGTAAACAGGTAAGGAAACCCAGGATACCAGGTTACGGTGGTAGTGCTAAGGAGGGAACCTGTGCTGGCCAGAGCAAACTTCTGAAGCTAGCAGCTTGTAGCAATGAATAGGTTTGTCTCCAAGCAAGAGACAAATCCTCCAATCCTCCAATCCTCGTTCCTAGATCCTTTCCTCCCAGCAAATTGCTTCTCAGAGCTTGTGAGGGATGGAGACAATTCCTTTCCCATTGATAAGGAAGGAAATCAGAGTAGTTTAGAGACCATCCAGTTTTGTTTGCTGATTTTCATGGTGTTGGGCCTCTCTGTGCATGCTAGGCAAGCTACTTCATCCAAGGTTTTTAAGAATGGCCACAAGGTGCCCAACCAAGAATAGACTTTGGGGGCGGGGAGGACAGGCCAGGCAAGCGCTCTACCACTAAGCTGCACCCCTAGCCTCAAGGACAGACATTTAAATATACACCAGGAAGAAAAACAGGACAGCCTCTGCCCTTGGGGAACTTGCTTTAATTGGAAGATAAGACATGTAAATGTAAAACCAAAAGTAATTATAAAGTTGTGCAAATAATCAGGTCCCCAGCTATTTATCCTGGACTGGCTGTCGGCAAGGCCTTCTGTGATGTGAGGTGACTGGTGGGTGGGGAGGTAGAACATAGGTAAATATGGTTCTGGCCCTGGAGAACTCCACGTGTAACTGGCTGCAGTTACAGGGGAGCAGGGTGGCAGGAGGAGGAACAGTTCCTGGGTGCTGGGGGATGACAACATAGAGGTAAAGGAGTAGATTAGGTCCCTGCTGGAATGGGGAGTTAGGAAGAATTTATCTGGGAAAGGCTGCCAGAGGAGTGTGAAACCCATATGAAAATTATAATAAAAAGTAACTTTGGAGGAGCATTTAAAATGGAGTCAGGGCTCGGGGGAAGGCTGGAAGTGTGGTTCAAGTGATAAGAGTGTCTGCCTAGCAAGGGTGAAGCCCTGAGTTCAAACCCCAGTACTGAAAAAATAAATAAGAAAAAAAAAAGGAGTTGGGGGACCAGGCTCTATGCATGTATCAGGCTACTACCTGGAAAAAGGAATTTAAGATTAAGAAAACCGGGCACAAAAATGACACAGGAATGAGAACCTTTGAACTGGGCCAAGGCCAGAGAAGTCATTAACATCTTTTATTGAAGGTTGAAGCTGTAACGGTCTTCCAAATGACAAGTGAACTTTATACCTTGAAACTTAGTCCTTTGATCGATCATGACTAACCCAGGGATACCTAAGAGTGTGAGGATAGGCTTCTATAACAATTGCCTTTCTTTTCTTGTAACCTGTGGAATTTCCTTTGTCCTTGGTTTCTCCTTTCCTTGAAAAGTCCTGCAGGGTGAGTTTCTTTGGAACACTCATTCAGAGCTGTCTGATTTTGTGTTTCCCCAAATTGCATTCTCAGACCCCAAATCAAGTTCTTTTGCATTTCCAATTTCTGAGTTTAAATGGAGCAAAAGGAGGTAGACAATGTGTGATGCTGGAAAATGGAACTAGAGAGAGATGAAGAAAGAGAGAAAGTAAGACCTTTCCCACACTCATCTTCCAGGCCCAGCTCTTAAGTCTTCCAGACAGCTTCCCCAGGCAGAATCAGACACTTCCCTCTGCCAGCTCTCAAACCACCCCTACTACAACCTGAACCTCACTGCTGCACTCACCTCCTTACCTGCTGGTCTCAACATTCAGTGCCAGCACCCAATAAGTCTCTGACTATAAGAGGGCCAAATATTATATTTTCAGTGGTGTGCCTCACTTCATTTTACCTTACTTCTTATTTTCATTTTTTGCTATTTTACTGCAGTATAGCTTTTAAGTACAGATCTTCCAGTTACTCAGGAGGCAGAGGTAGGAAGATTGTGAGTTTGAGGCCAGCCAGGGCAGTTATCCAGACCCTATCTCAAAAACGAAATAAAAATAAAAGGGCTGAGGGAATGGTTCAAGTGATAGAGTACTGGCCTAGCAAGTGTGAAGACCAGGGTTCAACCCTCAGTGCCACAAAAAGCAAAAAAACAGAAACAAAAGGCACAAACATGACTTATGACGAAGAGTGAATTTTTATAGCTGGGCAAAGTATGGGCAAAGGAAGAGTTCTCTCTGTGCTCTGAAAGTTTGCTGGAATAAATTGGTGAATATTAAATAGAAGAAAAGGTGTGTGAATTTATTCATGTGCAAAAGGGGAAAACAGCATGGAAAAGTCACAGAAATGTGATCACTCATCCATTTAACCTTACTCGGGCATTCATAGATCCCCTTTTCTATGGGGGATGGGGAGAATAGGGAATGTAGACAACTTTAGACAATTTTGGGGACTTGTAAGTGATTATTAGGGGGATGAATGGTCCTCAAGAAGGTCTCTTGATTTTGAATGGAGCCCAAGGGACAGATGCTATCTTGCATCTGTCCAGTGTTACATTCCTCAGTCTTCTTTTCTGAGCTAGATGATGGAGGTTTCAGGGTGATGATGAACAATAATTGGGTTCACTCTTGCGGTCTGGCTTTAAAGCTGATAGGGGAATTCCACAGAGCCCTCTTCCTGTGTTTGAGAGGTGAGGAGCAAGAGAGGGTGTAGGAAGCTGGGGTGTAGTCAGTGGCAGAACATAAGCTTAGCATGTACAATGTCCTGGGTCTGGGGGAGAGGGAGAGGGAGAAGGAGAAGAATAGGAAAAAGGAGAAGAAGAAGGGTTGGGGGAAGAGGAGAGGAGAGAGGAAAGGAAGGAAGGAAAGGAGGAAGGGAGGGAGGGAAGGAAGGGAAGGGAAGAAAGAAACAAAGAAAGAAGGAAAGAAGGAAAAAGAGAGAGGGAGGCAGGAAGAAAGAAGGCTATAGGGATCTTGATTCTGAGCCTTTTAAGGCTCTCTAATTTTCTTTAGACCAAAGTGCTCATCATACCAAAAAATGCAACATTTAGGGAGTATTGTTCTCTGTGTCTCAACACTAATCACAATCGGATCAAGCTATAAAATGCTCCACACACTGTGGGTTGCCTCACTGTACCAGGCCCATTGTCACTGTGGCAGAGGAGCTGAGCTAGTAGAGCCATGTGGCTGGGAAGCACTGTCTAGGGAAATTGAGAAAGAATTTCAGGTGTTCCTGCTGGAGAGGTAAAATTACTGAGGCAAGGTCATTGTGTGTGAAGGACTAACCTGCAGAGTAGATTTGCTCTGTGGGGCAGTGGGGAGCAGTTACGGGGAGGAGCATCTCAGTGTAGCAGAAGACCCTACTCACATCGGAACAGGTTCTGAGGAAATGACAAGGTCCCCATCAGCACCATGTCAATCAAGAGCAAGGATGACAAGCATTTTACAGCAGTTCTGGTGGGGGGGTGTTGTCCCAACTGGAAGTTATTCCTCCAACCGTGAGCTCCTGTGGCTCTGGAATTTTGTAACAGTGGCACAAAGGACTCAAAAAACTTGCTTATGTGTGGGAGATGTGGGAGGAGGTGGCCTAAATAATGTATACACACATGTAAGTAAATGTAAAAATGAGAAAATAAAATTTTAAAAAATTATATTTAAAAACTTGCTTATGATCTGTTCTCGTGCCAGAGGATAAATTTGTTCTTTATTATGAGTATGGTGTAAGGCTCACCATTAACACCATTTGGCAAGTGCTTGCTGTCACCCACAGAGCCACTGAGCAGAAGGAACCTGGAGCTCTGTCTGTCTCCCCTGGTCTTCACAGTCCAGGGTGGGATGGAATGGATGCTGGGTGCCACTGTGACATGGCAGCACCTGTAGGAGAAGCTGGTTGTCCCCACCTCATGCCAAGTCATCGTGGGACACTCAACTCCTCAGTCCTTTCAGCTCTGGTCCCTCTGGCAGGCAAGTGAGCACCCTGTCCTGGCTCTCACAATTACTAGGACACCAGGGTAAAGGCGTAGGGCCTTACTGCTCTGCCTGTAGTAACCAGTGCAGAAACCATGTCCTGCTGGCACAGGACTACACAGAACAGAGGGAAGGGACAAGCCAGGGTCAGCCACAGAGTCCTGGAAGGACACCCAGCCTGGACTCTAAACAACCCCCTGTGCCCTGCGCAGGCTTTTTCTAGTGAAAAGAGAAGTGCCCTAGAACTCTTTTTCCTAGAAGATTGTTTCAGAATTCATTGTGGGAGTTCTGCATGTCACTGCCTTCCCTCCTGCCCCAACTTCCCCTAAGAAGAAGGTAAGAGATGGAGTCTGGACAGGACAACGCCGTCCTCCTCCTCCTCCCACACCTGCGCAGGGCACAGGTGAGATGGGGCTGCTGGGAGCGGCGCTCAGACCCTTGCAGGAAGCTTCGAGTGGAGCAGATCGCAAGTTTCAAGGGTTTTCCTTCTAAAGCATTTAACCTCTTGAGGTTCCAATGAAAGCACAAATACGCGCTCTAGAAAAAATGTGTACGAGATTATGGTTTTCATCGGGGGACAGGGAGGCGCCTCCAGACCCTCGAAGTGCATCTGTGGAGCATTAGAGTTGGGGGGGCATTAGAGTCCCCACCCCCGCACCAAAGCCACAGTGCGGACGCCTTGGTGCTGTCCCACCTCGGCGCAGCGTGGACAGATCCCGCTGTCCACATCTGGGACGCCTCGGGCGCTCAGTCTGCCCAGCTCTCCCTTGGGCGCCCAGGCCCCTCGGTCCCTGGGGGCGGTGGGGAGCGGCTGCGGGCCCGGCGGCCGGCTGGGCGCGGGCGGGGGAAGCGCGGCTCCCTCCCGGTTGGTCTCCGCAGCCAGCCGGGGGAGGACGAGCATGTGCGATCCGCACCGAGGGGGAGCGGGCGCCTGGCACCGCGCGAGGACTGCGCGGGAGCGGACGCGGCGCCCCCCGGCCGCACAGGCGCCCCGGCTGGGTCCCCGGCTGGGTCGAGGGCGGGGCCCCCGGGCCGCGGCCCCTCCCCGGCCCTCCCTCCCGCCCTCCCTCGCTCCTCCCGGCCGCCGGCCTCCCGGGCCCGGCCAGCCCTCCCGCGGGCGGGCGGCGCGGCACTCGGGCACCGGGCTCGCTCGGAGCCAGCAGCCGCGAGCCCGCCAGCCGAGCCATGGGCTGCGACGGCCGCGTGTCCGGGCTGCTCCGCCGCAACCTGCAGCCCACGCTCACCTACTGGAGCGTCTTCTTCAGCTTCGGCCTGTGCATCGCCTTCTGGGGCCCACGCTGCTGGACCTGCGCTGCCAGACGCACAGCTCGCTGCCCCAGATCTCCTGGGTCTTCTTCTCGCAGCAGCTCTGCCTCCTGCTGGGCAGCGCCCTCGGGGGCGTCTTCAAGAGGACGTGAGTGCCCCGGCCTCGAAGCCCAGGGCTCCCCTTCCCACCCCTTTCCCATCCTTGGCCCGGCGATGCGGGGGCTGCCAGTCACCCCTGCCTCCTGGCCACACGACCACCCTTCCCACTCGGCCAGCTGTGCCCCACCTTAGCCCCAGGGCAGCCTCCTCCCCCACCCTAGCTCTCCCTGGAAAACTCTCTCCAGAGACTGAAGGTGACTTCTGGATTATTTGTCTTCACTCACCCCAGTGACAGGGTAGGAGCAGTCCCCGCCCCCACCCCCAGCCCGCGGGCAGAGGAGTGATGGTGTTTCCAGAGGTGCAGAGGGACCCGTCTTGCACAGCTCCTCTGAGGTTTGTCGTAGCCCCAGCTGCCAGAGGCTAAATTGGCAGTGAGGTGGAAAGACAGTGCCAGCTCAGGGGCAGTGCTGGGTGCCAGGGCTGACCTGCGGTTTGACCAGGCGCCCACGGGTGACTCTACTCATACTTAGGTTCACATCAATTGATGCAGGCCATCCCTTTGCCAGGTGACCCTGGGGCCTACGGGTTCTGGTTGTTCAGCTCAAGAACACAAGACACGTTCTTGTATTGGCCCCTGGAGACCGACCCCTTGGACTCTGAGACACATAGGACCTTGTGTCTGGAGCCAGACAGGGAGGTGCAGAGCCTTTCATCCAGGGCTTGGTATGAGGACCCTCCATCTCTGATGCCAGGCAGCCCCTTCGCACCTCTCTCCATCTTACTCCTCTCTGATATCTGCCAGAACAGAGCTCTGGATTGGATCACCAGGTAGAGACTTCTCCTGGCTAATTGGACAGGACTTCCCTTCTGAAAACACAGCAGGTTTCTCTATCCTATGCAGCCAGGAAAACAGGACTCAGAGCTGAGGAATGGATGACTTGCACTAGAAGCTGCTTTGTGATTTCCCTAGTCCCAGCTCCTGGCTGAGTAGTTGCCAGGATTGCAGGGACTCAAAGCAAGCAGCTGGTGTGGGAACAAAACCGCAGCTGAGTGGGCCATCCCAGAGACCTCTAGAGGGATTGTTCCCAGCCAAGGGCTCTTGCCCTCAGGCTCACTCCTCGGGGTGTACAGGACATAGGCTTCTATGTAGAGCCCGTGGAAAGAAGTGGACAGATGGACCCCAGTTTTATCCACCCAGCCTGACCAAACTGCAGCAGTTCAGGAGTGATTGTCCCCATTTCCTCTAAACCTGCTTGTAAATGCAAGAAGCAAGTCTGGGGTTGGGGGTGTAACTCAGTGGTAGAGCTCTTGCCTGCTTGCCTATCATGCAGACATTCTTGGGTTCAATTCCTAGCATGGAAAAGAAGTCTCCTTGTGCACACCAGTGTTTTAGAGGTTTTAAACAGGATTGGGCATACAGGCAATTCAGGAATTTAATGTGAATGAAGGAGAGTATCTGTAAATATGAGAGGTGGTTTTTGTTTGTTTCGCAGTGGAACCCAGGACCTCACACACCTCTAGCCCTCACAGGTGTTTTCTTTTGTTGTATTTCAATGTTTTGACTTATAAAATCTCTCTTACCTGGAACTTTTTAGGACCCAGTATAGTGCAATGAACAGGAAGGGGAATGAGGATAATTCTAAGTGACAGGTTGGCAAGCCTGATTTTGTGACTAGGTGGAGATCTACACCCAATTGGGCCATCTCTTCCTGGATGGCTTTGTGCCTCCCTGGGGTTCCTTACACCATCAGTGCTCTGAGAGGCAGCAGAGAGGGTCCTGCAGCAGGAAACTGGCTAGTAGAAAAGAGAAAGGGTGACAGTAACACTAATGACAAACCTTCTGTGTTCATGCTCTGAACCAGGCACTATTCTTAGTACTTTACTTGCATCAACCCATTTCCTCTTAACCACAGCTCTGCAAAGTAGTGCTGTCATTTCTATTTTATGCATAAGGAAGCTAAGGCACAGAGAAACTAGGAAATGTAGCCTGGTGTGGTGGAGCACACCTGTAATCCCAGGCCTTTGGAGGCAGAGGCAGGAGGACTGGGAGTTCCAGGCCAGCCTGGGTGAGAGAAATCCTGTCTCAAACAAGCAAACAAACAAACAAAACTTGCCCCACATCACACAGTTAGAAGAGGCCTAACTGGGATTTGAATCTGGGCATTTGTCTTTAGAACCAGATACTTTGGCAATGGCTCCTGCCTTATGAGTAGTCAGTTTCAACTCTGCAACAGAAGCACAGGTGAGAGATGTGTGCACCTTCATGGGCTGAGCATTTCTGAACTCTAACAACTGGGACGTCAATGGTGGGCTTCTGGGTTTTCCCACTGGGATCTTTAAGGGTGAGGTAGGTCCTCTCCCAGGTGTGGGTTTAAATTTTGAACCTCAGTTCTCCTACTCCCAAGACAAAATGTCACCAAGTCCTCTTTCCTCCAGTAGGGAGCACGTGGAAGACACGCACACGCGCGCACACACACACACGCACACGCGCGCGCACACACACACGCACACGCACACACACACGCACACGCGCACACACACTCCCAATGAACAAACCTCTGCCAGCCCTGACACCAGCCTCTAAAGCTTGCTGCCTGAGCCTTGCCTGTCTCTGTTGAAATGCTAATGCCCTTGCAAGGAAGTGCTTTTCAGCTTAAGTGATTACCAGCAGTGCCAGGCTGGCACTGGGGAGTGGGAGCTTGCTTTAACAAATCTTCGAGGGCCAGCTGTTGCGAGGGCGTGGGGGAGAGTGACGAATGACACATAGGAGAGTCGAGTTGGCCCCGCCTCTTTCTCTAGGTTACTGCTCAGGTCCTCCCTGCTGCTTGGCTCAAACTATGGGACTTCTAGAAGCCTACATAGGGCAGGGACAGCACATGGAGAGCTCAGATATCAACGCTGGTACATGGCACAACTTGAGCCCTTTGCCTGCTCAAGACAACACCAGCCATCTCTTCATCCTCCCCTCCTTCCCTGGGTCTGAAACTTCTAGCATAGACAGAGACCTTAAAGGAGGCCTCCACCTGCAGCCCAGGGAAGGAAGAGAGAACATCAACAAAAGAGAAGAGAGCTACAGCAACAAAAGACTGAACTAGACCTTCCCTAGGAAAATCTTAGCACAAGGAAGAAATCTTTCAGAGAAGAGAAAAAAACTACCAGGTTGGTAGGGTGACTAGGTATGTGCTGTCTGTAACAGGAAAGGGTATTTAGATAAAAGGTTAGGGTTTTTTCCTCTCCTGGTTTCTTGGGACCTGTCTAACCACCCTGGGCAGTTGAGACCCCCTTATCTCAAAGGCATCGGGGTAGATATATGACTGGAGAGTTTCTTCAGCCTCCCTTTGGCCTCCCCTATTTACATACTAGTGTTCTCTTTGCCTTACTGACTCTTTCCTTATCTACCTTTTTTTCTCAAATTCCTATTAATCTTCAAATCCTGCCTTGCCCAGATCTGGGTTTGTAGCAAACCCAGTCTTCATTCCCCATTCCCCAGGCCAATGTAGACCTGCACTGAAAGTTACTACCCCACCCCCACCCCAAGCCTGTTCCCCTCTCTGATCTGGGCTCTGGCTGGCCTCCCTTCCAGAAAACCTCTGCCTGTCCTTCAGGAGTTTGCCCACCTTTCAGCAGGCCACAAACTCATGCCAAAGCCTCCTAGGAATGCAGCACCAGTCATAATTCTTGTTTTAAAAACCCATCTTAACATGGAATTGCCATATGATCTAACAGTTCCATTGCTAGGTATAGCCCAAAAGAAATGAAAATATTTGTCTACACCAGAATTTGTACATGAATGTTTATAGCAGTATTACTAATAGTAATGATCCAGTTATCCACAAGTAGGTGGATAGGTAAATAAAATGCACACCTATGGGTCCAATGGCGTCATTCAGCTGTCATGCTAAGTGAAAAGATCAGTCACAAAAGACCACTTTGGATATGATTCCATTTATGTGAAATGTCCAGTAGTAGTGACAGAAAGTAGATTAGTGGTAGCCTAAGGCTGGAAATGGGTGTGGAGAGGCATAGGGACTGACTGCTAATGGATACAAGGTTACTTTCTTAATTGTGGTGATGGTTTCACATCCCAGAGTATGCTAAAAAAAATTAAGTTGTATACTTATATAGGTGAATTTTATGCTATAGAAATTACATATCAACTTTTAAATTAAAAAAACCTCATGCCCCATTAATTCACTCATTCAACAAGTATCTCTGGAGCCGTACCTTGTTTCAGGGAAAATCCTCCAGACAAGGTCCCTGCTCTCCTGGAGCTTATGTTCTGGAGGGGAATTTTAGATGGTTCAAGGAAGGAAATGAAGTAGAACAGGGATGGAGAATGGTAGAGTTGAGGTTGGAGCTACTTTACATAGGTGATCAGGGAAGGCCTGTCTGGGGAGGTAATGTTAGAGCTGGCTCCTGAGTGACAGAAGAGAGCCAGGCATGGGAGAATCAGAGGAGAGGTGTTCTAGTCCGACAGCCTGCAGGTTCAGCCCAGGTCTAAGGTACATTTCCTGTGTGCCCAGCACTCACTGGGCCATAGGGCTATTGTTATGCACAGACAGGGTACAGCCTCACTGGGCAGTCCTGCCATGGTAGGTATGTCCCAAAGACAGGCTAGTCTGCCCCTCCCTCTGGATCCTCCATCCCAGCCCTAACGCAGGGCTCTGAACAAGCTTAGGTGTAAGTGCACAGAGGCTGGAGGTGTCAGTTAGAGGGCACCTCCTATCTCCACCTCTTCCCCATCAGCCTGGCTTGGACAGGATTGCAAACCTACCCTAGCTCTCCAGAGAGCCTACCTAACCCATCCTAGTTCCCCATTTCCAGAACCCATGACATTCACTCAGAGGCCACCTGCCCCTTTGGGGTGGAGAGGGGCTTGGGGCTGCCTCCACCAATGACTTCTCTCTTCTGCTCTCTGCCCCACTCCCCTGGTCCTCCAAGGAGGGAGTTGTCCAGTTGGGCAGGGAAGAGAGAGAAAGAAGGGCTCCTGGATATCCCTGCTGTGGTGAGGGAGCTCCTGATCTGTGAGGAGAATGTCAGTGCTACCAGACCCTGTACCCACTCCAGGTGGCATGGGGCTGGATCTCGGCAGTGTTCTTCCCCACCTCGAAGTGGAGAGCAGGAATGGGGTCCCTGTACCAGTATCTTCCTGCTCAGGCCCGTTCCCTGTTTGGAGCCCTGAAGTCCTTCCTCTTTTTACTGCAACCAGAGGACAAGGGCAGAGGCCCAAGGCAGGATCAAGTTAAGGAGATCACGTGTGCATCTGGGTAAGACAGATCACCAGGGGCTGGTCAAGGTCACACAACTAAGGTGGCCCAGCACGGAATTCCAACAGAGCCACGGGCGGGTTGTGGGGAGGGAGGACCCTGGCTCCTGCCTCTCTCCGCCCCCATTTGCACCTTCCTTGTAAGCCATTAATAAGTAACTTGGGGATTGGCAGAGTGGCTCAAGTGGTAGAACGCCTGACAGCTTGAGGCCCTGAGTTCAAACCCCAATACTGCAAAAAAAAAAGTAACTTGGCCATTTTTCTGGCATCCTAACATAGGTTTCCTAGGCCTTGAGGGGAAAGTGATTCCTCTTCTAATTGGTCGCAAGGAACATCTGAACCCAGAGCCAGGACAGGGAAGGTCAATGGTACACTGTTGGCCTTTGTCTGGATTGAGAGTCTAGACCCCAGGGTCCTGGCTTAGAGCTGCGCTATTCTCTTCCTATGAGTAAGTCTCTGAGGTCTTTGCTGCCTCTCTAGCTGGGAACTGTGTTTTGGGGGGCATGGGAGAACAAGGGGCAGTAGCGTGTCCTTCTCCTGTAGATCCTGGTCCAGCCTCCCAGGGTCACTCCAGAAGGTGTGCACCACACATTGTAGTAGGACTGAGGGAAAGTCATTGGTTGGCACTGGTCTCTGGCCCCTTTCTGCTGAGCTCTGTACTCTGGGCCCAGAATTGCCTTTGGGGAAGCCCAGGACCAGCCGGGAGAGTTGAGAACTGGGGAGGGACTGCCTTGGGAAAGACAGCTAGCAGAGGAAACAGAGGCTCAGAGGAGATAAGTGTAAGTGACTTGCTCCAATCCACACCACTGGGAAGTGAGAGAAGTGGGCCTAGGATCCAGTCTTCTGGTTGTACATCCCAGTACATCCTTGATGCCAAGTCTTTTGACGTTTTCAATCCATAATTTTCAGTTACCCGCATTTCTGGAAAGGGCCATTGACCGAGCCATTTCAAACAGGCAATACACCTGTTTCAGTCTGGCTCTGGGATATATCTGGGACTTCTTTCTTGGTAACAACATATCATTCTAAGGACATTTGTTCAAGCTGATTTTTGGAATGCCCAGGCAACAGCCTTGCTGAAGCAACTTGGAAGGGTGGGCAGCCTGGGATCCCAAAACAAGATTTTCTATGGTGCAAATCAAATGTCCCCTTTGCTGGGAACAGGTCTCCCCACCTCCAGCCCCCAAGAACCCAGGACGAATATGTGCTCAGTGCTCCCTGCCCAGATGTAGTCAGCAAGCTCGTCATAGCTCAGCGCCTGGTGGGAGGCATAGGGAAGGGATTTCCCAGGCTTGCTTTCTCCTGTTACTGGGTCTAGGGCAAAAAAAAAAAAATGTGGGCACCTTCTCAAGTATGACAAGGTGAAAAGCAGAGGAGAGGCCTGGGCAGGGAAGCCCAAGGTAGCTGCCATCCTCCCTCAGTTCCTGCCCTTCTCAGTCTCCCACCGTACTGTTCCAACAGTGTTCCTGGCAAGATTTCCCACATTATTTATTATTAAATGTGGTGCTGGAGATTGAACTAGGCCTTGCTAGGCCAGTGCTGACCACTGGGCAACATCACAGCCCTCCAATGTTATTCTTTACCTTTCTGTCTCTGCTACCCCATCAGATAATCTAGTTAAAGCTCCCACAGCAGTCTCCTAACAGTCTCCAGTCCCTTTCCACGGGCCACCCTGGGTGGGTAGCAGGTCAGGCTCCCTTAGGCACTGTCGCATTTTACTAGCAGTCTTTGAGCCTGGCCTGAACATGTTCTCAGGGTCACACATGGCACCAGGCCTAGGTTCCACTTTGGGAAGGGTCCAATAGAGCCCACGCTCCAGTGGCAGACAGCTGGAGCTGCGCTAACACCAGCAGGCACATGTTCTAAAGATCATGGCTGTTCTACAATGCTTCATAGTCCTGTCATTCAAGCCTCTGCAGAATCTGGCTCCTGCTAACACCCCTGCCCCCTTCAGCCTGGCTGATCTGTAGCCCAACACCAACCCTTTACACACGTGCACAGGTGTATACACACACACACTCCTCCATGGAGAAGCAACGTGGCACAAGGAACGCAGAGTCAGAAGACATGGGCTGGTCCAGGCTACTTTCTTAGTTCTTCCTTGTCTGAGTTTCCTCATGAGTCAAACAGGCACCAGTGGGAAGTCTCCTTCACAGCATTACCATGTGTACCAAGCAGACACTGTAAACAAATGGCAGTGCCTCCCATGTAAACCGTCAGGCTAGTCATTATCCATTGTTTCCTTCCCTCCCCTCCCCCCAGTTCCTTCCTATCTCCATTTACTGACCCCAGTTCCCATCCCCTCAGGACTTTGCTATATGACTGACTGCTGTACCAAACCACTTTCACTCGGGTTTATTTAGTTATTAATTTTTATGGTGCTGGAGGTGGAACCCAGGGCCTCCTGCACGCCAAGCATGACTCTACCACTGAGTCACACCCATGCCCCCCAGCCCTCACCCAGGTTTTTTAAGGAAAGAATAAGAATGTGTTGATTCTTCAAGAGAGTATTTGCACTTGACCTTCTATGAAGTGGTGAACATGTACTGTCGGTCAGTGGGGGATGCTTGAAGCTTCTTGTTATCTTTGAAGATGAGTCACCAAGAAGGCTGCTTAGTGCATCTTATGTAGGGAAAGGAGGAAGGGGGTGGGGTGGAGGAGGGAGGGAGAGAGAGAGAGAGAGAGGAAAGGAGAGGAGAGGAGAGGGAAAATAATTATGAGAAGTGTGTATCAGCATTCCCCCTGTTCTGGCTACCAAGGAGGCAAGTGAGATGTGACCCCAGTGTAGGAAGCAGAAGCACCTGGAAGCACAGTGAGTGACAAGGGGCTGGTGGCAGAGCACAGTCCAGCTGTCAGAGCTGGGGAGCATCAGAATAGGGTCCCCAGGGAGAGCTGGAGGAGTAGGGAGGGACCCGAACAGCTCTTCCACATCACAACTTTGCTTCCCTCGTTTCCTCCTTAATGCAGGCCTTGAAGTAGGTCTCCCCCCACTAAGCACTGAGCTGGGAACAGGCAGGGGTCATGAACAGTAATCTTCCTGACAGATCAGCCTGGAAATGAGAAAAGAAAATGAGAAAATAACAAAATAACGAACTGCTGCTATCAGCAGAGCTCTTCTGATAAAGGATTTAATCAGACATGAGACCACATGAGATAGCCAAGAGCCAAGGGGGTCAGAGGCAGCTCTGGTGAAAGACCCAGCCTCTGGGCTGCTAGAGGCCTCCCTCTTCTCTTCAGTGTCTTAGAAACTCAGAGAGGTGTTCTTGCACCCCCACTCCACCTCTCCAGCTGCTCCTAATCTGAGAAAGTTCCAGAACCTTCAACCTCTAGAACCTTCTTGCTGCCCAAGCTCCTCTCCACAACCCCTCCACCACCCCAGTTAGCCTTTCAGACAGGTCCCAGAAAATACAATTCTGAGTGTCAGGTTTTTGGGCAGATTGTCCTTGAAAGACCTTGACAGAGCCTTGGATGCTTCATTCACTCACTCTCTCATGGATACAGCCCCTCCACGTCTGTTGTGGGCTCTCCTGATGTCTAAACCCAGGAACCATTCGGACTTGTCCTAGTAGAGCTGGCCTCAGGGCCTCCTGTCGTCCCTTCCAGACATTCGTCAGGCACAGAGCCCCTGACCTCTGTTTGCTAGCGGGGGTCACCACATTACCCACATCTCTGGGCTATCATGGCTCAGCCCTGTGCTTTTTGTTGTAGAATGACCCCTTGCCCGTTCCTATGCTGAGGGCACACGCAGTTCACCTCACCCTGGGCGCCTCCAGGTTCAGGTTCCATCCTGGGACCCACTCCAGATGCGGGCATCTGACACTGTTCCCGCCAGATGCTCAAAGCAGCTTCCCCAAGCAGGATGGAGAATATTTTTGCATAGGATTGTTTCAAGCGAACAATTTAAGGTTTAAACACCATAAAGGAGTAGCTGGGCTTCTACGGCATCTGTGAGGTCGGGATTGCTCCCTGAGGAGACCACCATATTCAACAACTTGCCCACAACCCACAGCTAATGAGCGGCTAGCTCCCTTCCCTTCCTACCAGAGCTGGAGGGAAGTCTGGGCTTCCAAGGCTGCCAGCCAGTGGAGGACAAGGAGGGGGAGTCTCATTAGAAGGTTCTAGGACCCTCCACTGACTGCAGCCCACCCCCACCCCAGCCTGGCCCAGTCATTATGGGCACTCTTCACCTCTACCCTGGTCATCTCCCTGGTGTTTGTCGTCATCCCCTTCTGCCGAGATGTGAAGGTGTTAGCCTCGGTCATGGCGCTGGCTGGCCTGGCTATGGGCTGCATCGACACGGTGGCCAACATGCAGCTGGTGAGGATATACCAGAAGGACTCAGCCTTCTTCCTCCAGGTGAGCGCAGCCAGCATGGGCCTGAGTGGTGAGCAGGGTAGGGGGTTCCCTGGGTCATATCGCTCCCTCCCAAGTCCTGCCCTAGCCTCTGTCCCCCTGCCAGGGGTGTTGATTCAACGCAGAGAGACCACTTACCAGCCAGGCCACACGAGCTGAAACTTAATACCTAGGCTCGAGTTTCCTCTTACCCAAAGTGGGGTAATGATCCCTGGCCTGCCTTGCAGGGCTGTCCTAGGAACCACAGAGCTAAGGAGAGAAAGTTTTTGTGTTTGTTTGTTTCTTAATTTTTTTAAAAGTTAGGATATATTTGTTGTACAGGGAGGATTCATTGTGACAATTCCAAATAGGCTTACACTGTACATTAGTTAGATCATCCCCACTGGCTCTCGCCCTCAATCCCCTCCCACCCCACTTGGACCACTTGCAAGAGGTTTCTTTGTTCTATTTTGTATATGAAGTCCATCAACCATATTCCCTCACCTTAATCTCCTTTGTTCACCCTCCCCCACCCACAAATACCCTCCAAACACACACCGTACCTATTTTACAGTCCTGTCTTGTTCAAAGTGGTTTCTCCATGTATCCCCACTGTGAGTATACTTTACTTTGGTCAGTTCAACCCCTTCCATTGCTCTGCCTTACCCCTTCTCTCCCACCCCCCCATTTTTCAACATCTGTCAATACGTAGCTTTATAACCTCTCCCTTCACAGATGTTATGTATTACAATATTGTTCATGGAAAATTCTTTATAAACTGGAAAAGTGGTGTGACTGGAGGGCTTGCTGTCTGCTCTCCTGTCTCCTTCCCTCCTTCCTTCTCTTTCCAATTTTTTTTTTCCTTCTCCTCTTAGTCACCTGGAGGGATCCTGTCCAGCCCTCCTCTGTGGGATGCACAGTGGACACAACAGTCTTAATTGGAGTTAAGATTGGGGGAAGAAGAGAGAGGGAGAGAGAGGGGGGAGAGAGGGAGGAAAGGAGAAAAGGAGGGAAAGAAGGAAAGGATGTCCACTGTCACCACAGTTATCCCAGATTCTCCTCACCTTCCTCACCTCTCCTGCTTCCTGACTTTCTTCCTTCTCTCTCTGGGACCAGGCAGGGGACTCCTTGCTGGGGCATAAACTGGGGTCAAGAAGAGGTAGAACTCCCTGGGTGGAAGTTCAGGCCGCTGCTTCCTGGGCCAAAAGACTGAGCCATACCCACCCCCACCCCACAGGTGCTCCATTTCTTTGTGGGCTTTGGTGCTCTGCTGAGCCCCCTGATCGCCGACCCCTTTCTGTCAGAGGCCAATTGCTTTCCTGCCAATAGCACGGTCAATGCCACCTCCAGAAGCCACCCATTCCATGCCTCCCAAGTCCTGGGCCAGCACCACATAGGAGCTCAGCCTTGGGCCAACCAGACGATCCCTGGGCTGCCCCCAAAGGATGGGCCTGAGAACCACGTGTCCTATGCCTTCTGGATCATGGCCCTCATCAATGTAAGTGTCACTGGGGTGTGCTGGGTGGGGAGCTAGGGGACAGCACACACTTTCCAGAACTTACTGCTCCAAATGCAGAGTCTTCAGATTCCAAGAAATGTGCTGGGGCCAAGGTGTGGCCAGGAGGCAAGAGGGAGGGAGAACCAGGCACTGGTGCTCAGGTCTGTAATCCTAGTTTCTCATAAGGCAGAGATCAGGAGGCTCACGGTTCGAAGCCAGCCCGGCAAGTAGTTCACAAGACCCTATCTCGAAGAAAACCCATTACAAAAAGGGGCTAGTGGAGTGACTCAAGTGATAGAGTGCCTGACCAGCAAGTGTGAGGTCCTGAGTTCAAACCCCAGTCCCACCAAAAAAATGTTTTAATGTCAATAGTGAGTAATTTCTGTACAAAACACATCTGGAACGAAACTCAGGCAGCACATGAGCTGATGAGTCCAAAATAGTCATCTCCTTAATTCTTTCCTTCCCAGTCTGCATGTGGGAATAGCTACAAAAGCTAAATCAAAGGGCAGTGGTAAAGTGACACAAGTTGAGGGGCTCTGTAAAGTGTCAAGCTTTGAACAGCTATTAGTCCTACTACTTATATGTGGGCTTTTTAAAAAATACAGTGCTGGAGGTAAAAAAAAAAAAAAGAAGTCACAAAAAAGGGCTGGTGGAGTAGCTCAAGGTGTAGGCCCTGAGTTCAAGCCCCAGTACTGCAAAAAAAAAAAAAAAAAAAGTGATGGGGGGAGAACTGACCTTCCAGGCATCATCTTTAAGGTCCCTTAGTTGTGACTATTTTCATTTATGAATCTCAAAGAAGGTAGGTGATGAGCTAAAAGCAGGGTCAACTTTCAAATCTTCTGCGACATGGTAGATGTCGGGGTCTTCTATCATACCTAGTCACTGCTCCTTTTAACGCTTTCTTCCCTGGGCCAGAACCTTCTGGGGATTCCCAGCAATGTGCCCCTCTCCTTCTGCTCCTTCCCTTTTCTGCCCATGTGCATCCATTGTTTTGGAACAATGCAGCCTTCAGACTAGGTCTTCCAAGGGGGACCTGCAGAGGGAAGGGGCACTGCCCATGCAACATCAAGGCTGGGACTGCCAACTGGAAGCCCAAAGACATTCCTTAGGCCCAGGGTCTCTTCTCGCTTGCCCCATGAGGTGCTAACTGGAGCGACTTTGTTTGCACAGGATTTCCGGGCTTTTCCCATTGGCTTGTGTGGTTTGTGTGAAAATGAACAGTGGACCACAGAAGGGAATGCGGCCATGCATATTCAAGGCTTGCTTACACTCACACAAACGACATTAGCTGGTTTTCAAGGTGGCGCTGACATCTCTGAATGGGATTCCTATAAAAACTGGGCGCGTTTCTGCCAGCAACGCCAGCCAATCTACCATGAAGCCTTTCCTACCACCTACCTCCCTGGAAAGCCCCACCTGAGTGACCATGCCTGGTGCACAGCTGTTTCCCCTTGGCCTTCTCCCAGGTGTTCTGCCACTGCAGGTCCCTGTGTGTGGTTTTCCTGTTTCCCCAGCAACTGGAGGAAGGGCTGTGTCTCCCTCCATCAGGCTAGGATTCCCTGAGGGCAAAGGCTGTGTCTCAGCCTCATTTGTAGCTTTACAGCTACCAGGGGCTGTCTGACCTTGACTTTTTTTTTTTTTTTTTTTGCTGTCGTTATTATTTTTTTGGAGATGAGAGCTCATTGTGTTGCCCAGGATGGTCTCGACCTCCTGGGCTCAAACGATCCTCTTGCCTCAGCCTCTCCAGTAGCTGGGACTACAGGTGCCCAGCATCATATCCAGCTCTGACCTTGAGTTACTTTGGTGTGTGTAGAAAGTCTCTCAAGGTCACCATAGGGTGGTGTCAACATGGGGTAGGGTGGATTTTGTCTTCAGGCTGGTATGAGCCAGCCTGTCTGGGGGCAAGGGTTTCCCCAGAGCAGCACCAGGCCAGGGTGGGTGGGCTGTCTGTTCATCTTACATCTTGCCTGGTCATTAACTGGCTGTGCGTGCCTACCTGTGGGAACCTTCTGCCGTACACAGGCTTCCTCTCCTTCCTAAACAGAGGAGCAGGGCTGAAGCCACAGCAGGAAGGGCAGTAGTTAGACCTGACAAAGAGCTTCCTGTCAGCGAGGGTGGTTAGACGCAGGCACGGGCACCTGAGGGAGGCAGGATCAGCTTCTCCAGGCAACCTCAGAAGCAGGAGACATTTCCCATTGCTCTGGGGAGCTCAAGTGAAACTTAAGGACTAAGTAGAAAGCAGAGAATGAGGTTGGCATGTGGATGGATTGTTCATACCCACGCAAAGCCCCAGACAGAGCCCTGTACCCTCCTAGGACACAGCCTCACCCCAGCAGCCCCTGAGGTAGAGACAGTGCTGGGCAGAATCCGGATGCCAGGTTCCAGTTTCACTCTGCCCAAGTCAGCTGTGTGATTGGGACTCTGCTGCCTGGGTCTGTAGTTGACCTCTTGGGTCTCTTTGCGTTCTAACGAGATCTGACTAAGTGCAAACTTTGAGCCTCAGTTTCTCCTTTTGGAAAAGGGAGATAGCAATCCCCCCAGCACTTTTTATAGAGCTGTGATAGATGAAAGCAAACCCGTGTGATCTACAGTGCAAAGGAGTGTGAGCCCATGCAGCAACATGGACAGGGATAAGGGTGCTAGAAACCAGCTACTCCGGGCACCTTTCCTGGGCCTGCAGAGGCCCAGTGTGAGTTCTGTCTTCTCAGGGAAATGGGTGTGGCCAGGTTGGGCCGTGCAATCATTATACCCAGCCTGGGGTTGCTGTACCTGGCTCATGGGCTGGGCTGGCGTTTTGGTGAGGTAGGGCCCTTGGAAAGAGCTGTCTTCTCCCAGGACTGTGCCTGATGTGGCAGGGCCATCCTGAGTCTATGCCGCCCTCAGCTTCCAGTGCCCCTGGCCGTGTTGTTTCTGCTGTCCAAGGAGCGGCTGCTGACCTGTCCTCAGAGGAGGCCCCTTCTCCTGCCTGCAGATGAGCTTGCCCTGGAGACCCGGCCTCCTGAGAAGGAAGACACCTCACTGCCCCCAAAGTTTCAGCCATACCCAGGTGAGGGGTCTTATAAAATTTCACACTCCAGGCTTCCTTGTGAGGCAGGTGAGGTAGGAGATGGAGCCATCTGGCCAAGAGAATAAGGAAGGCAGACTTCTGGGTCCAACCTCCCCAGCCCTGTCTGTGTTACCTTGAGGGAGTTACTTGGTCTCTCTGAGTTTTGGTTGCACCAGGACTGGGAAAAGTACATGGGCTGCTATTAACAGGTAGCTGAAAGCTAGAGAAGGTGGAGGCAGTAAGTGGCCCCATGGCTCTGTCAGGGCTCTTCTGACTGCCACCACTTCCCCTGGGTGTGTAGAGGGAAGGGAGCAGAAGTTGAGACTCAGCCCTGCTCTTGCTGTGCCTCCTTCCAGGGCATGAGGACCTGTTCAGCTGCTGCCAGAGGAAGAACTTCCGGGGAGCCCCTTGTTCTTTCTTTGCCATCCACATCACAGCCGCCCTGGTCCTATTCATGACAGATGGGATGACGGTGAGCTTGTACCCAAGAGTGTGCCCTATTGGGGGACCTCCCCCTTGACAGTCAAGCCTGGGCCAGCAAAAGAAGAGCACTGAGGTTCCTAGAACTTCACCTGCAGAACAGCAGGCTTAACGTGAGCAAAAGTCCCTTGAAAGATGGTCCCAAGCCGCTCACAGCCCACTGGAACCATGGGCCCTGTCCTGGTTGGTTGTTTTGTATTTTTGTTAATTCTAGACAGCAGTCTGTGTGGTTTTTTTTTTTAACCGATTAGGTGTCATAAACAGGTAGGGGGTCAGGCTCACTGGTCCTTTCACTTGTGACTTCTGTTACGCTATTTAGTGCCTTTTTCCAGAAATCTTTTAGGATTAGATTAGGACAGTCTTGAGTGGCTGATTGATTGACTGGTTGCTATAAGATGGATGCTCCAGAGAGGAAATCCCTAAAAATCTCAGATGAGCCAGGGCAATGGTTCACATCTGTAATCCCAGCTACTCAGGAGGCTGAGATCAGGAGGATCACGGTTTGAGGCCAGCCTGGGCAAACAGTTATCAAGCTCCCATCTCAAACAGTAAGCTGGACATGGTGGTACCTGCCTGTGATCCCAGCTACTAGGGAGCCTAGGATCACAGTCTGAGGCCAGCTAGGGCAAAAACTTGAGACCGTATCTGAAAAATAGCTAAAGCAAAAAAGGGCTGGGTTATGGCTCAAATGATAGAGCAGCTGCCCAGCAAGCACGAGGCCCTGAGTTCAAACCGCAGTACCGCCCCTCCCAAGAAAGAAAAAGCTCTCAGATAACCTGGTGGAAAGTTCTTGAGACACACCTGGTTGACTTCCAACTTCCAGGGTGACCTTGGCAAGTCCCTTCTCTCTTCTCTCTCACCTATAAAATGAGATTCTTGTGCACACCTTTCCTTTTGTCCTGTCTTCCCATACCCTATGGGGACCCCCTCTTGGAGACCCTTCTGTCTCTGCAGATGCAATCCGTAATCAGGTGACACCTCAGGTTCTGTCCTCAGCTCATGTCCAAGTGTGCTGTGTGGTCTTGGCTTCCAGGCCATCCCCAGCTGAGCCTCAGGGCCAGTCCTCAGCACCTCCCCACTCCTGCCCCAGCCTGGGCACAGGTGTGCTCAGCCAGGCCTGCTCTCTCCACAGGGGGCTTATTCTGCCTTTGTGTACAGCTATGCAGTGGAGAAGCCGCTGTCTGTTGGACACAAGATGGCCGGTTACCTCCCCAGCCTTTTCTGGGGCTTCATCACCCTAGGTCGGCTCATCTCTATTCCTGTCTCCTCAAGAATGAGACCAGCCACCATGGTGTTCATCAATGTGGTAAGTGGCTAAGTGACCTCCTTCCCTTTTTAGAGACCCAGAATTCCTTTACTCCTGGCCCTACCCCTGCCTCAGGACATGACATTTGCTTTGTACTAGACTCGCCAACAAGGTAGGAATGTAGAAACAGAGGAAAGAGGAAGGAGAGAAGGAGGAGGAAGGAGAGGAAGGATGAAAACGTGGACAGTGTGTCCACGTCTGGATAAATGGAAGGTGCTGTCGGTGGTGATTACTGTGGTGTGAGCTGTCAGCCAGGAGTATAAGGGACACAGGCTTTGGCCTTGGACCTTCTGTGTTTCCCTCGGTGCCCTCTGTCCAGTGGAGACTGGGGATCTCCAGCCTTTGGAATCCACACCTTGTGCTGGCCTAGGCACTTTGATGTGGTAGCTTTCCAGAAACTTCTCAACTAGCCTGGCTGGCATGGAGGTTTGACCGCCAAGGGCCTGGTTTGCTTCAGAGCAGGAGGTCTGGTTCAAATTCTTGCCCTGATGTGCATCCACTTCACCACCTATGACAAAGGGTCCAGATTAGAGACCTCTGTGAGGTCATTTAGTCCAACCTCCCACCGAGGCTGGAGTCATCTCTACAATGGCCCTTTCAAGGGGTCTTCAACTTCTGTTTAAACACCTGAATGCCTGGGACCTCACTCCTTTTCCAGTGGTGTACTCCTGTAATCCCAGCACTCAAGCGGCAAAGGCAGGAGGGTGACTGCTCACCTCGTGAGCCAGGAAGCAAAAGGAGAGAGGAAGAGGCTGGGGTCCAATACCCTTCAGTGTCACATCCCCAGTGACCTGAGGACCTCCCTCAAGGCTCCACCACCTAAAGGTTCCATCACCTCCCAATAGCGCCACCCTGGAGACCAATCCTTTATCACAGAGCCTTTTCAAGACCTGAATGATAGCAGGAATGTAATTGGTTTTCCCTTTTTCTGAGAGCCTAGTTTTTTATTTGCTCATTTCTTGCATCTGAAGTACTTGTCAACGACATCCTTAGACTGAGATTCTTTGCTGTAGTACTAACCACTACACAAAGGCCATCAACTGCTCTAAGGGTTTCCCTCTGGCACTTTCCAAGAAGCTGATCCATTTCCCCTAGTTTCTCCTCATCCCCAGCCTTAGTCAGGTTGATGTGCTCAGCACAGAGGGCCTCCACCACCTTGTACCGGGCTCCTCACGGCTGGACGCAGGCAGCAAAGATCTGCTTGGTGCCAGTCTCGGGCTTTGGCAGCTTTGTGAATTCCAGGTGTGTTGCCACCATGCAGCCCCTCTGGTAAAGCACGTTCAGTGCCCAGCAGCCTCCAGCAGCAGCGCTGTCCTCGGACGTGGTCTTGGGTTGCAGGTGAAGCTGATTTCTTTTGACAATATAGGGGTTTGACTCAGGGCCTTGCCCTTGCTAGGCAGGTGCTCTACCACTTAAGCCATACCCTCAGCTCTTTTTTGCTTTAGTTATTTTTCAGATAGAGCCTCACACTTTTGTCCCGGGAAGTATGCCTAGGAAGTATGCATACGTCATAGCTAGAATGACAGACATGTAGCAGCAGACCCAGGTTTTTTGTTGAGATGGAGTCTCACTTCTTCTCTGGGCTGGCCTCCACCTCTGTCCTTCCAGTCTCTGCTCCCCTGGTAGCTGGGATTGAAGAAATGGTGGGTCTGAGCCAAATCTTTTTGTTTTGTTTTTGGTGCTGGAGATCAAACCCAGGGCCTCACACACGCTAAGCACACCTTCTACCCCTGAGCTACACCCCAATGCCTGGAACAGATCTGGCTTCTGAGAGAGGCTCGCTGGTAGCAGGGTAAACGCAGAAGGTGCTGTTCTGCGAGAGAAAACTCCAAGTCCAGTCTGGACCACAGCTTCTGGACCACATCCAGGGACTAGCTACATAAGGGCAGCTGTATATAGAGATGTACTCACACACATGTACATGTTTTATAAAAAAGTCTGGAGTTCTGGACCCCAGTAGTGGCTAGAGGACAGCTGTAAAAACCCTCAGAGCTGGATTAAAGGGGAAGTGGACAGAGAAGAACTGGAATAGAATCCTAGACCACTCCAACCTTCAAAGGCCAAGTGGGAGGTGCGGGGGGGAGGGGAGGAGATAAAGAACAAATGAAGCTATGGGACAATTTTCTGTGCCAAAGAAATGCCTTGTGTTTGGAATCATGGATGTGTCCATTGCTTTGTGTGTGTGTGGTGATGGGCGTGGGACAGGACACTGGGGTTTGAACTCAGGGCTTCACACTTGCAAAACAGGTGCCATACCTCCAGTCCATTTTGCGCTGGTTGTTTTGGAGATGGGTCTCGAGAACTATTTGCCTCCCCATCTCAGCTTCCTAAATTGCTAAAATCATGGGCATGAGCCACTGGAGCCCAGCTGTTTTTTGTTTTGCTTTGTTTTTTGTTATTTGTTTGTTTTTGGTTTACTGAGATAGGGTCTGTGTAGTACTGGCTTAGACCTCATGATCCTCTTGCCTCAGTCTCCTGAGGGCTGAGTTTATAGCATGCACCACCATAGCCTGCTGCTTTTGTATTTCTGTGACCTGAAGGAAGTCCTTCTGGTTGTGATTCTTAACCTTCAGTGGGAAAGGGGTGGGGGGCAGAGGACAGGACAGGACAGGAAGGTAGAGTCTAACAGGTGACTCCAGAACACTTCACACCTGAGATCTCCAGGCTGAGGCTAGGGGCTGGGAGAGGAGCTAACAGGGCTCATGGATTGGGGTCACTGACTTTACTCTTCCAAGGGAAATGAATCACCCAGAATTGGCTGTGACTGTCTGAAGGTCTCTTCTTTCTGCCTACCATTCCTCATTTGAAGTGGAGGGAGTAGCCTGGAGTAGGCATGATTTCTTGCACACTCTCTAGGTCTATGTGCTTACAATTTTCCTAGACACAGATATCCTCACCCAGGATATTTTTGTATGCTTTGTGATACTGGGATCAAACCCAGGGCCTCACACATGCTGGGCAGGTGCTCTACCACTGACCCAGGCCAAACCCAGGACATTTTCCCCTCAAAGCTATGGGCTTTGAGGCTTTATCTCTTGGGATATTAAGAAATGCCTGCACATACAGCTGGGGGTGTAACCCAATGTCAGAGCACTTGCCTAGCCTGCAGAAGGTCCTGGGTTTGACCCCCAGCACTGTATTAAAAAAAAAAAAACCATGTAAATAGACTAATAACTGTTCAGTGCTTGACACTTTACGGAGCCCTCAACTTGTGTTACTTCACCACTAGCCTGTAGTTTAGCTTTTGTAGCTGTTCTCACATGCAGACTGGGAAGCAGAGTTAGGGAGATGACTATTTCAGACTTATCTGGGATTTGTACCTCAGTTGTCACACTCCAGCTTGTGTGCTGCCTGAGTTTCTTTCCAGATGTGTTTTTCACATAAATTATTCAATACTGACATTAAATTTTTTTTTTCGTAGCACTGGGGTTTGAACTCAGGGCCCACGCTTGCTGGCAGGCACTCTGCCGCTTGAATCACTATACCAGCCTAGAAAAACATTTTTAAAGAGCTTATAAGTAGAGTTATTTTAGTAAAAATATTCTCTTGTGGCATAGAGGAAAGATTGGCTGAACTAGAAAAGATTTCTGGGTGGGTCAGCCCATGGCAGGTTGTCCTCACTGACCCTCCAGGGAAGCTGGCTTGGATCCCTAGGCAGTGGTCCCAGAAACCCTGCCACCAGTGCACTTTCTCCTGGTGTCTCAGGGAATCCTCTCTGCGCACTCTGGGCTCCCTAACTGTCCACTTTTAGGTAAACAACAACCTGTTTTCACAGGAGTGGAGGATATCATGTACCCCCAACATTGCTGGCAGGGGGAGCACTGATGACTTATGTGAATTCCCCCAGATACAGAGGCTTCGGGGACAAGCATCAGTCACCGTCCAGTGTGTGGTAGGCCAGCTGCATAGGTGTCCAGGTGGGCTCACCTCCCAAATACTACCTTACGGTTCTCAGGGCTTCTTTCATGGATCCCGGACTAGGAAGCTTGCAATTCCTAGCCTGTCCACAGGGTGGCGTATGAGTTGCGCCGCACTCCACGCTGGAGCCTGCATTCCTGCTTTCCACCTTCCTCAGTGGATGCCCAGCTTTGCCCAGTTTCTAATGGCTTCCACCTCTGCTGCAACAGGTGGGCGTGGTGGTGACATTCCTGCTCCTGCTTATTTTCTCCTACAACGTCATCTTCCTGTTCGCGGGGACAGCAAGTCTGGGCCTGTTCCTGAGTAGCACCTTCCCCAGCATGCTGGCCTACACCGAGGACATCCTCCAGTACAAAGGTGAGTGGAGGGCACCTTGGGTTGGGGCCACCTCCTTTCCTGCACCCAGGATTTCTGGGGCATTCCAGGCCCAGCTGCCTTGCAGTGGGAATAAATGGATGCTCCCTCGACTTGGGTGGGAACGGGCTCACAGCAGAGGGTGCTCTGCCCACGTGGCTCCCTCCATTCAACATTGTACCTGGACCCATGTGACTTCAGGTCACAGAGAAGCAGGGCAGCTTCCCTTTTCCATTTTCTTTTTCCCCATGGTAATATATCTATGGGCCTACAGCCGATGGGTACGCTGAAAATTCCTAGTTCAAAGCAAACAAAATTGCATGGGAAAAGTGAGGACCTAGAAAAGGCATTTTGTAATTTGATCAGCAGTGACAGTGCCTCCTGGCCTGTGGCTGGGGGTGTTGCTTCTTTCTATGGATCAGAACAACTCCACTCCTGGTTTGGGGTTGACACAGCTGCTTTGATGTCAGAAACCTCAGACTCCCCCTTTTCCTAGACTCCCAAGGGCATCTAACCAAGACCTCTTTTTTTTAATGAGTTAATTAAAAATAATTGTGTTTAGAACATTTACCATCTTCCTTAGAAGTAACTAAAGATGCCCCAGAGGTTGGAAAACCAGCACTAAGATGGTGACTTCTTTAGGGAGGAGTGGGGAGGCTAGTGTACAGCAGTATCCAACCTGGTTACCTACGGTCATGTGACAAGGAAATCCAAGGAGGCCCGCAATGGGTTTTAGCACACAACGCCATCACTGGTCATTAGGAATAAAATGTTTTCTATAATAAACTTGCACATATTTTGTTTTGTTTTCCAAATGGGAATTTTTAATTATGAGAGTATCTCTCACTGCAAAAACCTCAAATAGCAGATTTTAAATGAGTAGGCAAAAGTAGCTGAAAACAATCCTTAGCCATTTTTCTCCCAGTTCCCTTCTGAGAATATATTATATCTATGCATATGTAAACCCAAGTGAGACCATCCTGCTCACTGTTTGTAATTTAGAAAAGACAATTTGTGTGATAGGCTGAATCTAAGAATCCAGTGTATGTGAGTTTCTGTGCCTTCTGGCTCTTCCGAGTATGTACTAAACATGCTCGGAGACTCCCCAAATCGGGAAATCCCATTAACCGTGCCTCTGAAGAGATCCTGCTTTGATGGAATTCAGGGGAGAAGATACCTGGGCCAGACAGTCGTCACTCCAGCTTATGTCACACAGGATGCAGTGCAGGGGACATGCCCAAGAAGTTGGTCTCTTGTGCCAGAGGCAGTGGGATGGGGGCAGCTGTGAGGCAGCTGCACATAGCCACTCACCCAGCTCTGACTCTAAACCTCAAGGAAGTAAATGAAGTAATGAAATGTTATCCCATGCCATACCGTATATCCACAGATTTTGGGATACATTTTTTTTTTTTTGGCAGTACTGGGTTTTGAACTCAGGCCCTCACACCTGCTAGGCAAGCACTCTACCACTTGAGCCACTCCAACTAGTCATTTTGTTTTAGTTTGTTTTTTTCAGATAGGGTCTCATGCTTTTGTCTCAGGCAGCCTCAACCTCAAGATCCTCCTACCTTTGCCTCCTATGTAGGTGGAATTACAGGCAGGAGCCACCACACACAGCTTGTATTGTTTTAAATTTATTTTTTGTGGTACTGGGGCTTGAACTCAGGACTTGGGACCTCATGCTTGCTAAGTAGGTGCTCTACCACTTGAGCCACTCCACCAGCCCTTTTTTGTGTTGGGTCTTTTGGAACCGTGACTCTCCTGATGTCTGCCTCCTGCGTAACTAGGGTTACAGGTTTTTGAGATAGGGTCTCCCTAACTTTTTGCCTGGGTTGGCTTTGAACTGTGATTCTCCTATCTCCACCTCTCAAGTAGCTGGGATTACAGGTGTGAGCCACCATATCCACTATCCCACAGTTTTAAGTGATAGACAAATGTTAAGAGTGTAGAGGGCTGGAGGCATGGCTCATGTGATAAGAGTGTTTAGCTAGCAAGTGCAAGACTCTGAGTTCAAACCCCAATACTGCCAGAAAAAAAAAAAGTCTTAACAAATGTTAGAATTTAATCGTAAGTAGTTACATTGTGAATGATCACTCAGCTCCATCTTTTCATTTCTCACTGTCCCTACCTAAGTCTGGCCTTGCTCATCTGCGGGAGTATTTGTCACCATCCCTGCCTTCATAGCTCTTTCCTCCATCTAGCCCAGCTGGCTCAACATTAAAAGCACCTGGAATGTATGCACATGTGAATAAATGAATAATTAAAAAAAATTCACTGCCAAATGCAAAAAAAAGCACCTGGAGCTCTTGTAGCAAGACCCAGGGATGGGGCCTCCTCTCCAAATGTAATGGTGGGTTCTGACATGTGGCCTCCATGCTGTAGTGGGGGGTGTGATTAAAGCATGGCTGGCACCCCCTCTGCATCTTCCTGGGCAGTTCCTCTCCACTCCAGCCTTCTCTCTCCCCATTCTCCCACCACCCCCCGCCCCACCCCCAGCCTGCGTTCTAGCCACATTGAACTACTTCACATTCCTTGAAGACACAAAAACCTATTTGGTACCCAGGCTGTGGCACATGGCCGTCCTCTGCTTAGAATGTCCTTACTGCTCCAGCCAGCCAGCTCGTTGCCTGTTTGGCTTCCTCCCACCTTTCCAGGAAGCTTTTCTGATCCCCCTGAAAAGGTGTTTCCCCCTCCTTTGTGCCCTATTGACATCACACCTGTCCCTGTCTCAAGACTCTGTACCTGTATCATCTCCTCTGCTAGACAACACACTCCCAGCTAGGGAAAAGGGAAAGGGCGTGGGCTTTGAAGTCATTGGCAGATCTAAATGTTAATCCTATCCTACACTTGCTGGTTTATGACCTGGTGCAATCCCATTTCCTTTCTCTGTCTCTCAACCTCACTTTTCTCATCTGTGAAATGGTAAAACACCAGCTTTTTATCAATGTTTGTGCTTTGGAGAAAGTGTAAAGCTCTCGCTGTTACATCATCCGTGGCTCAAGGTGCTCCATATCCCCTAATTTATTATTCACTTGTGTGTCCTCCATGGTGAGCACAGACTCCAATGTGCAGAAAAGCCTCAAGGCCTTTTGAATGAAGGAGTGGAACAGACAGTTGGTGTCGTGGAATTCAGCGAAGGAAGCAAGTAGTTTTGAATTTAGAAACAACTTGTGGAAAAGATGAGATGTGAGCTGCCCAGGATTAAGATAGACAGCGTGGGAAAAGGAAAGAAGGTCATCCTGGGAGGAGCCGAGTAGGAGCAAGGAACAGTGTGAGAGCACAGGCAGAATGACAGGAAGTGACATGAGCAAGACTGAAAGAGCTGGAAGGAGGTGAAGTCCGGAGCAGACACTAATGATAACACCATCTACCATGGTTGGCCACTATGCTACTGATAAGCGCTGGTGTATGCCAAGGGACCAAAAGTCAGGGAACAGTCATTCTATGGCATATGGCCCTGTGGGGAAGGTTGGCAGGCCAGCATCCAGTGGGGTAAGAGCAGGGCACAAGGGCAATCTGGGTCCAGAGGAAAATCTGCCAATCCAGGGACCAGGGAAGAAGATAACTGAAGGAAATCTAAACGTGGACCTAAAAGAAGAACAGGAATTTGTTGGACAAATTGGAGAAGAAATGTTCAGGCTGCATAGGCCATCCTGGCTGAGGGTGGCTAGGGAGTGGGCTTGAAAGCCACATGGAAGCATTTGGATCTTGTCCTGAAGGTGAGGGAGGGTTTAGGTAGAAAGCTGGCCTGGTTCTGTGCATCGGCTGGCAGCCAGTGTTCTGTGGGCACTCTGCACACCTTACAGCAGTAACCCGCCTAGCAGCCCTGTGATGGAGAAGGAAAGCGAGGCCTAGAGAAGTCAGAGAATTTGTCTAATGTCACGTGGCCAGTGGGTGACATGGCTGGCATTGGAATCCAAGTCTGACTCAAGCTTGGGGTCTGGAGGGCTGTGCCATGCTGCCAGTGCATCAGAGGCGGTGACCAGTCAGTGAAGACCCTGGCCTCTCCTCACCAGAGGGCTGGTCTGAGGGTGTCAGGAAATCTTTCTGGAAAGGTAAGTGGTGATCAGATTGTAAAGAGCTCTTGATGCCAAGCTAATCCCAAACTAATTTGGGATTTAACCCTGAAGACAGCTGTGAGTAGCTGAAAGTTTGAGAACAGGGGAGGGACCCAGGACTGCAAGATGTCAGCATTCCCAAAGCAGTTACAGACCAATGTCCAAGAAGTTTGAGGAATCAGAGTGGTCCTCACAGTCACACCACCCTCCAGCGGTTTCCTACAGGCAACCTGGATCATGACCACTCTCTTCTGTCCTCAACTTGCCTTCCCCTAACCAAACCCTTCTCTTCTTGTCAGGCTGTGCAACCACAGTGCTGGTGACGGGGGCAGGAATTGGCGAGATGGTTCTCCAGATGCTGGTTGGTTTGGTACGTTGGGTTCCCCTGGGGGGATGGCTAGGGAATACTCCTCAGAGAAAGTGAGAAAATGCAGCAGGCAGCCACTTTCCAACTCAAGCTGTGGTTTCCTGAATCCCACCCAGCCTGCAGGGCCCCACTATTCAGGGTTACCTGTTTCAGTTTCCCAGTCACACTTGAAAGCTGGTCCTCCAAATGTGGGCTCTGGAGATAGGAACTGATGTGCACACAAGTGCAAAGCGAACAAGGGCTGTGTCTGAGAGTGAGGCCACAGGGGACCCATGAGAAAGATGCTGGCTGTCAGAGCCCAGCACGGTGGGCGCTATCCTCACTTCTTTTCCCATCCATGGCCTCACAGCCTGGGTCCCAGCCTCCTGCCCAACTCCAGCCATGACCAAGTGCTGACTCTCCCAGCTCTCCTCAAACGTGCCCATGTTCCATTTGTTCATCAGAGAAAAAAACAAAACAAAACACATCAGCTTTTTCTTTTTCTTTTTTTGGTAGTACTGGGATTTGGGCCTTGCACTTGCTAAGCAGATGCTCTACCACTTGAGCCAATGCCCCCACCCTTTTTTTTTTGCTTTAGTTATTTTTCAAATAGGGTCTCAAGGTTTTTGCCCTGGGCCAGACTCATACCACAATTCTCCTTCCTATGTCTCCTGAGTAGCTGGGGATTACAGGTATGAGTCACTGAGCCTGGCTTTGTCTTGAATACTATAATACAGATGTTATTCCGTTTTACAGCAGTGGATGAATGTATCTGAAACATAGTGACTTGTTCTAGGTTGGTCACACTCCTAGTAACTGCCAACAGTGACATAGGGTTTTCAGTCTTCAAAACCCCTATATCACAATACAAAGCTCCTTTCCTTGCCTGCCGGGCAGAGGAAAAATGCTGCCTCTTAAAATACCCTCAGCATTGGAAAGACAGACATCCAGGATTTGAGTCAGTGTAATCTAGTACAGGGAAGAAATAGAAAATCACAGATGAAACTGGTGCTGATTGCTGAAGGTGGGTGATGGGTCTATGGGAGTTCCCTGTGCTACTTTGGTATGTTTTAAATCTTCATAAGTTAAAAAATAAGGTACCCTTTGCAAAGTTCCAATTAGGCTGTGGGTATAGAAACACTTCATATGATTGGAGTTTTTCAGGAAGTTCCAGAACACAGAGTTGAAAAATAAGAGGATGGGCAGGTCCAATCTCAGCCTTGGGGCAGGCCTTCTGCCTCCTCCAGATGCATAACCTTGAAAAGGCCAAGACTTCCCTCTTCCCGGTGTTCCTATCCATTAGTGTAATGGCCTCAACTTGACTGAGGCGCCTGCCAAGGGCCCAAGAAGGCTGCCTCCCCAATGTGCCTCCCGCCTGGAGTTTTAATGGCCCATGTCTCCATGTTTTTCCCTTTGGCAGATCTTCCAGGCCCAGGGCAGCTACAGTTTCCTGGTCTGTGGCGTGATCTTTGGCTGCCTGGCTTTTACCTTCTACATCCTGCTCCTGTTTTTCCACAGGATGCACCCTGAACTCTCGTCGGGTAAGGAGAGAATCCGTTTCTACACAAGAGGAGGAAAACAGAGCAGGGTGGAGTGGGAGTGGGGGGGTATGATTTTAACACGCCGGAAGTACTGTTCTGTTCCAAGTAAAATGCAAGGAAATGTTTATTTTTCTACAGCTTCCCTTTACCCTCTTCCTGCTTTCCCTGGGATTGTCCACACTGGACTCTTATGACTGGTGGGAGCAGGACAAGCTGACTCATGGTTTCTCCATTAGCAGAGGGGCATGGGCTGTGAACTTGGCTTCCTGTATCCCACCATGCCATGAAACCAGGGGCCAAAAATCTCTTTACAGCCTGTACAGGGCACAGAGAGGCTGAATCTACCTCCCTGGCTGGAACTCGGCCCAGTGGCCTAATTGGCCATCTCTTTGCAGTTTAGGATTTGACTCTGGTCCAAATCACGTCTTCAAAAAGAAATCCTTTGGGCCAAATGGCAGAGAAAACTCCTTTGGGGCAAAGACACCTCCTAAGAATAGTCTCCCTCCTAGAGACCCCAGGCAGGGGGAGTCCCAAGGCTGTTTTTATAACCTGAACCCACCTGTCCTGTTCAGGGCTCTCACAGGGCCCAGTGACTAAGACCATGTGTGTAGCCAGTTGTTAAGAGAAGGTGCCCAGGCAGAACCCTCACCCTCACCATAAAAACCAGGATTAACCAGGTGCAGTGGCTCAAGCCTATAATTCTAGCTACTTGGAAGGTGGAGATCAGAAGGATAACAGTTCAAGGCCAGCCCTGACCAAAAGTTCATGAGACCCCCATCTCAACCAATTACTGGGCATGGTGTGCGAGCCTGTCATCCCAACCTCATAGGAAAGTACAAATTGGAAGATCGCCATCCAGGCCAGCCCAAGATAAAGCAAAAACTCATCTTAAAAATAACTAACACGGCTGGGCACCGGTGGCTCACGCCTGTAATCCTAGCTACTCAGGAGGCAGAGATAAGGAGGTTTGAAACCAGCCCAAGCAAATAGTTTGTGAGACCTTATCTTGAAAAAACCCTTCACAAAAAAGGGCTGGTAGAGTGGTTCAAGGTGTAGGCCCTGAGTTCAAACTCCAGCACCACAAAAAACAAAACAGAAATACACACTGGGCTGGTAGAATGACTCAAGTGGTAGAACACCTGCCTAGTATATGTGAGGCCCTGAGTTCAAATCCTCCCAAAATAAGAAAAAGTGGAATTGTCATAAAAAGACTGAAGGAACAGCCATCCCAGCCCTCTCTTACTAAGCAGACATAGCCCCTGGGCTCAACACTCAGTATAGAGACTCAGAAGAACAGGGGGACCCCTAAGAACAGCTTTTGAGTTGCTGTCTAGCCCTGCCCTCTACATAGAGTTCATTTAAGACACACATTCAATTACTCTTTGTTGAATGTAAAATGGGGAACCCTCCTCATATTCCTCTTTCATGGGAGGCATAAACCATGTCCCCCCACAACCCTAGACACTAGTCTCGACAAACTGCCTCCAGCAAATTTGTCAGAACTCACAGGTCTGACGTCTGACTGTGCACTGTGCTCCCTAATGAGCCACAGAACGGCAGAGAAACACAAAGCTTGGATCAGTTCTCAGAGAACCATTGCTGCAATGAGTTGGAGCTGCCAAGACATGCTACCTCTTCTATTTATGTTTTTTTTTTCTTTATAGTTCCTACCCAAGACAAATCACTCGGCATGGAGAATTCTGAGTGTTACCAGAGGTGAAACAAGGTCAGGAGGCAAGTGAGGACCTCAGCCTTCCAAGCACCAACGTGGCCAAACTGTCACAGGAAGCCGAGGGACTCTTTCACCACCCTAGTTGGAACCTTCTCCATTCCTACCTGGTTGGATAGAAGAAATTAAATTTGAGTACTGGTACCTGGATCCTTCCCAGGAAATCATTACACACTTACCTGACAATTCTAGTTACCTTCCTCTTCCCTGGTTCAGACTCACTGTCCACGACACCCAGACGGGAGGGCAGAAGACAGCTGTGCACGTCACTTCATCTGTCGCTTCATGCATGGACCACACCATGGGTTTGAGATCACTTTTAGTTGAAGTTTGAAAAACTAGGTTAAAATCGTAAAGCTTGATAATCATTGCTATATTAGATACATTTTAAGTTAATCAAAACAAACCCCAAGTTATGGCATGTTCAAAGGGTTTATGTGCTTTTTACTTAACCAGTAGTCCAAAATTCCTCCCATACCTGCTGTAGAGCCCGTTAGTTTATCTGTATCCTAAAACATCGAAAGGAGAAGTTGCATCTTGTCATCTTTGGGACACTAATTCAGCGGTATGCCGGGCTGGCTCACACGAGCTTAGAAAAGCTGTTACATTTTCATTTTGAGAGAGGTTGTTAAATGCAGTCGTGACTAAAAATTAGCTTAAAATTAAATTAAGAACAAAGGTACTAAGTACTCCTTACTTACCGCTTCCTAATTTTATTATATTGATACTCTTGCTAGATTATGTTCGTGGTCCCCCGGTGGTGGAATGGGGTGCTGCTAGGCATCCCCCAGCTCCACTCTCAGCAACATTTGGTAGCTTGAAAACAGTCAAGGTTGGAGTATTTATACCACGGAGACAATTTATAGCAAAGCTACAAGTCATGGCTGGTTTCTCCTTAGGGATCCGGCTTTAAACATTCCCCAGCACACCACTGCTAATCATTGATGCTAATTGGCCCAGAAATCACCCTGGAGAATGAGCTAGAAGTTGTTTTCCTTTACTGACATTGACTAGCCTATAAAAGACACAGAAATAGCACTAAGAATTTCCCCACAAAAACCTAACTTAAATTTTGCATCTTTTATGGAGGAAACATTTTATACCATATCAAGGCCTTGTCTTTTACAAAAAGCTGGGACTACTGAACAAATTCAAGCTGTGCAGTAGTTCCAGCTCCCTTGCAGAGCACAGAGGGTAGTAATAAAGGAAAAGGCAAACTCACTAGCTCGGGCAGGGCTCAGAGTACTGAGGTTTCTTGGAAATAGTGAGGCGGCTGTTTACAGTGACTTCCGGCAGCAGTGAAACAGCTGTTACAGTAGTTGGTTTGCCTGCACTTTCTCTGTGTATATACAAAGGTAGATGTATATACATAAAAATTTAGTGTCTCCATGGTTCCCGGTTACCTGTCCCAAGGACTGTGGTTCACACACCTGACACTACAAGGATTTTCCTGGGTCTGTAGGTATTGACAAGTTAGCCAGCTCTGACCACCACCAACACATCATAGTGATGGGAATCTGGCTTAAGAGAGAGACCTGGATCAAGCACTGGCCTAACCTTCTAGCTCTATGACCCTGGGCAGATCACCAGGACTTTTCCAACCTCATGTGTTTTTACCAGTAAAGTGGCATTTCTCAAAGTACCCTACCTCACAGGAATTCTGAATTAAGTGAATCTGTATAAAGCATTTGCTATATTGCTGACATAGGAAATTGCTTAATTAATGTTAGCAATTTTTAAGGCCTAATAAGCAGCTTAGAAAAGATTCATGTTTGGTACATATTTATTAAGTCAAACAGATCCAACTTCTTTGGCAAGCTGGTGGTAAAAAGGAATTATTTGAACTGTGTCTGTAAATACTTGTAAAAGTAGTAGATGCTAGCCAAATTTAAATGTGCACTCTAACTAGGTTGTGACCAACCTGAGCAAAGAGAAAGCAGTTGTATTTTTCTTGTGGTTTTTCAAGACTTCCTTTTTATACAGAATTAGAAAGAAGAATCAATGGCTATATCTAAGTTGATTGTGATTAATTTGTTAATATAGGAAATAAGATTAAAACAAACCTAAGTATCTTTCCTAAAATAAAGTATTTTGAACTTAGTGTGTTATCCTTATGAGGACAATTGACCCTTTGTTGAAATTTAATCTCAAAAACAAATGGCCTACTGTTCCCCAGAGACAGGTCTCTCTCATACGCTTACAAGGCCTCATGCATGAAGGTAAGTGCTCTACCACTGAGCCATATACACGGTATATTAGAAGCAAATTGACAGGGAGCCAAGGGCCCCTATTCCCTTTGACATGGATACAATTTGGGTAGAAGACTCTGTTAAGAGATGATAATTGCCTAGACTATGCTGGTAGCAGAAGCAATGAAAGTGACTGGATTAAAGCTGTATTTTTGAAGGCCAATTTGACAGAATTTGCTATGGACTAAGCATAAGGCATGAAAGATGGGACTCAAGGATGGCCTTAAGGCATTTGACCTGAGCAACTGGGTGTATTAACACAGGAAGGCCTGAGGGTGCCTAAGGGTGCAAGGATTCAGTGTTGCACCCAATTTATGATGCTATCTTGGATCATAAATGTCAAGAAGGATGTCAAGAAAGCTGTTAGATACAGATGTCTAGCACTTATAAGAGAAGTCAAGGCTGGAGTTACCAATTTTGCCATCACATGCTGCAGTGTTCAAAGCCAAAGGAGTGAGTGTAGCGATTAGAAGACTGAGCCCTGGGGTTCTTCAACAGTTGAGAGGTTTAGGGAGAGAATGGATCCAGTAAGCAAAGGAAAGAAGAGTTAGAGCCAGAGATAGGAGTGAGTTCAAGAGAAAATGTGGTTTTCTACAAGATATGTGAGGATTATCTTAAGGAGATTAGAAATCAGTGCTGCTGAGAGATCCAACCACTTGGACTTGGCAACACAGAAGGTGACCTTGACTGGGAGATGCTTTGGTAAATGAATTGAAAATATACAAGTATCACACGGGCCCTGGAACTCCAGCAACCTCCTCACCACCAGTGACCTGCACAGCTGTTAGATCTTGGCTGTGTTGTGCAGGATTACAGACTGCTGTTTACTTTAGAGTGACTGCAGATGAAGTCAGAAGTCACTTTTCATGGACTCCCTTCAGTGTGGCAATCAGTGCAGTGCCTTGTAGTGACAAACAACATGAAATCTTACAGCCTTTTATCACATCTCCTACCTGATAATGCCCTGGAAAGTGACAGTGTGAGGGTGTTAGCTTGTCATTAGTGCATGCTTGCAAATGAAGCAGAAATAACTGCTCCTTTCAAAGGCTACAGTAAATGCACCTGATGAAAATTTTAAAAACATTTAAAATGTTAATAAATTTCAGAAGAACTGGATATGATGGTGTGCTTTTAATTTCAGCTACTAAGGAAGCAAACATAGGAGTATCAAAAGTTGTAGGCCAACCCCAAAAGTTAGGGAGACCCAATCTCAAAAACAAAATAAAAATGAAAGGGTTGGAGGCTTGGGGACATAGCTGAAGTGAAACAGCACTTGCCTAGCATGTTCAAGGCCCTGGATTCAATCCCCAATACCCAAAAAAAGTTAATAAACTTTAAAAGTAAAAGAGATTTTACAAGGCCTATAGTTTTTTTCTGGCCCATCAGTTTTCTTTCAAGTCCTGTATACCAGCAATCATCTTATAATTTCCCTCTTCACCACCTGTTCTTAACATAGGCTTTAAATATTTTCATGCAGATACATATCAAGTAGTTGAAGATTAGGTTTTAATGATAACTACAGGGAAAACATTAGCATGGATGAAAATAAAATACAGAGACTACCTTAATGGATGTGAGAGAAAGGAAATAAATAATTCATAGTCATTTTGTTAAAAACCATTTATTTAAAAAAATACAATTGTCCATATCTAGTTGCACATATATCTATTAACATATCTGTATAATTCTGGACGTGTAAATTTGCTACAGTGCTTTCTTAAAGCCAGCTTGCATTATACAAAGTAAATTCCTGTCAGTTCTTCCACAAAATAGTTTTTAAAAAAATGTTCCTTTTTCTTAAATGATACCTATCACCATTATAGAATTTAGCAAAATTTTTGCATAAAACTTGGGAAGCAATAGAAATAATTCAGAGCAACCCCTTACAATGTCTGGAGATGCACCGAGTAGACTTCTTTTCTTTAAAAGCAGCATATTATAAAGCCCTCAAAGTGCTAGCATATCCCTTTCTTTACCTAACTAAACACTGAAGTTTCTTTGCTACAGAGAGACAGAATTCAAGATTCTAGCTACAACAGTACTCAGCAACCTGAAAACACATGCCTTTGTTCCTTAACAGTTAAGTGTGACTGCTTAGCTAGATGATACAACAATTTCTGTCCAGCAAAATCAACACTTAATGTGCATTTTAAGAATTGTTAGCAGTTACCATTTTAATTGCTTGTTTAGGAAAAAGGAAAAAAATTATTTTAATACGTTGAAGGTCTCTCTAATGTAAATTAAACTGAAATTAATTAAGACAAGTCATTAGTAATACCTCACCCATTATTCATTCTCTTGGGTGAATATGCAATTGTACAGTATCTAAATATCTATTTATACAAAGTGGTGGATACTGGGTATTATGAGATATAGCTTTCAAAAAAATAAGGGGAAAAATAAACAAAGCAGTAATAACTCTTCTCAGCTGAGCTGAGCACCCAGACAACTTCTTTTACCACATATTCCAAGCTAAGACATACATCAAAAGTAATACCTCTCTCCTGTGTTAACACATACAGATACACTGCAGTAGTCCCTTGGCAGAATGCATGTTTTTTCCTAAATTACAGATTAGCTGCATGAAAATTAAATGAGTTTGCTACTTAACATTATTTAACTTTTAAGCGATATCCACACTTCACAGTGCATAAACTGCCAGTTTCACTGTTGTTAAAGCATAGTATTCGGGATTTAAAACAATCTAACCTATGGCTCCTTGACATTAATCATCCCTAGTTGTCTCTTAGGAAGGTCTTTTTAAAACATCTAGTTGGGCCCATGGAGATTTATTAGTTTGTTGTTCAAAGTGCAAAGTTAAGCTGGGTATGGTGGTAAACACATGCAGTCCCAGCTATTCAAGAGGCTGAGACAAGACAGGAAAGACTGCTTGAGCCCAGGAGTGCAAGGCTAGCCTGAGCAACACAGTGAAACCCAAGCTCAAAAAAAAAAAAAAAAAGAAAAGAAAAACAAAGTTACACAGTACTCTTTTTCTTTTTTTTTTAAAGACAATTTGGTTATTTGGTGAATGAAGGGCATAATTCTAAGACACCACTTTTAATCCAAAGCTAACCAGTAGCAAAATGAATGGACTGAGTTTCATATTTATCTTTCCTATCCACAAAGTAAATGAAACTGCTAGAAGGCAAAAGTGAGTGATTGTGATTCAGCGGTAGACCAAATAAATAGGTCACCAGTAATCAAAAGTTAACTGTATTAATTTATTTTCTATCTTTAATATATGCATTTTAGTTTATTTCACTAATACGGAACAAGGAAGTTCATAAAGTATGCTACTCTATCACGTACACAATGGACATAAGCAATGAATGTACATATAAAGACCACTGGTAATACTGCCCC